TTGGTGGGCAGGTCGATGGGTGGCAGCTTGGGGGTCCAAGGGGTGGGTAGGGGATGGCGAAGCCACTGTCAGGAGCACAGTGAGTGCTTGCATCGTCTTGGTATGAGTTTTTCATGTCTGTATGATGTAAAACTTGCCCAGTTGTTTTTAACGCCTGTTGCTGTGGCCTGAGTTGGGGCTCAGCCTTGTCCCTGCGCAGAGATGCAAAACCACTTGTGGCCAGCGCTGAATGGAGTAATGTACTGGAAAGGAGCTGAGCAGGATGAGACCTTTCTCATTTAGTGAGGAAACACAGTTGGTCACCTGGCTGGTCTAGAAAAGGAGAGATGGGCTTACTCGGATGTTACAACCTGATGCATTTCAGCACAGCAGCTTCTGCTTTTAGTTATCCTGTATATAACGTGCCCGATTCTTGCCGTAGTCGTGAGCGTGGTGGAAGCGTGTTCTGTTTTCCATTTGTTTATTTATCGTCTTGTTTTCAACCTCTGCGAAGCCTGATACGGGTACAGGGCTTGAGGAAGGTACAAGTAACAGAGTAACAGATAACTCTGATTTGGTTACAAGGCAATAATTTAAGTCGACAGATTTAGCTGATAACATAAAACACAAGAGAGAAGTAGAATCAGTTTATAAACGTCAGCAGAACCCCTGTGAGCGAGTCGCTGCCTTGAAGCTGACTCTGGTGCTGTTCCTCCATCTAATATATTATAAGAAGAAATAAACGGATGTTTGGAAAAATCTGGCTGGCCAAGATTAAAGGAATAAGGCTATAAATTAAATCCTTCCTTGGCGTCACTTTAAGCAACTTTCCGGACAGACTGAACACATCCCAACGAGACGGACGCCGCTGCGCCGGGAAGACCTCCAAAAGACCACGTGTTTTTGGGCTGCGGGTGCTCGGATGTGCGGCAGCACCCGGGCACGGCGACAGTTTGTCCGGGGAGCAGTCGTGCTCCAGCTCGTGCAGGAGAGCAAAGCCTGTCCCGATGCTCCTGCAGCCGCAGCGGGTTCCAGTAGATAAAGGGATTAAATGGAGAACAGGACTAACATCGTCACAGCAGCGCGTTGCCACGGGATCAGCTTGGGAAATAAATGCTGTCACTTTGCTTTGGCATTTATTCCCGATAAATACCTTGTCGTTTGTGCAGAGGCAAGGGTTTGTTATCCTCTGGGAGTGCTTGACCTGTTGGACGCTGGCTTTTCGGCTGCGAGGCGAAGGGCTGAGTGGTTGAGGGGCAGGCGGGCAGCCCGTCGTCTGCCGAAACCCCGGGACTTCCTCCTAGATCCATCAACCCACGTTCATGCAAATCATTCCAATTGGGGTTTAAAAAATCCCAAGTATGGACTATTTTTTAAGTGGTAAAGAATACAAACCGGTTGTGGGGGGATGGAGTTTGCTGACTTTCTCCTTCAACAGCTGCAGCCTTTTCTGCGGGTTCACGGAGGGGTTTTCGTAGCTGTTTCTGCTTACTGGGTAGATGATCCGGAGGTGGGAAATTCATTAGAATGGAAATT